GACATTCGTCGGTAATGTTTAGAGACAAAACGAGTAAGCAGCGAAAAATAAAACAGGGGGTTCCTCAGGGTGGTGTCCTTTCCCCGCTACTGTTTAACTTTTACATTTCAAAGCTCCCTCAACCACCAGAGGGAGTCTCGATTGTCTCCTATGCCGACGATTGCTCGTTCATGGCGACTGGGAATGGAATTGATGACCTGTGTTCGAAAGTAAACGGCTATCTCCGAACTTTCTCGCTTCTTCACTGCAAAGTGTCTAGCCCTCTCCCCTACGAAATCCTCCGCGACCCTGTTCACAACCTGGACGAAGGAGGTCAGGCTACCGCTGGGGATTCACGTCGATGGAACACCAATTCCGACGGTGAATAACCCCAAAATACTCGGAGTAACATTCGACAGCCTGCTCTCCTTCTCTGCGCACTCAACCGCTATTGTCAATAAAGTACAGAGCTGCAACAAGGTCCTCAAGTCGCTAGCCGGCAGTACTTGGGGCAAAGACAAAGAAACGTTGCTGGCAACATACAAGGCAATAGGCCGGCCGGTTTTGAACTACGCAGCGCCAGTGTGGTCGCCAGGGACTAGTAGGACGCAGTGGACGAACCTACAGACTGTACAGAACACCGCACTCAGGACAGCGACGGGATGCCTCTTGATGTCGCCTGAACACCACCTGCACGGCGAGGCGCAAATGCTCCCTGTAAAGGAGCATAATATACTGCTCTGCAAGCAGTTCCTGATCGGGAGCCACAGAAGTGGCCACCCAAGCAGACAGCTGCTTGCAGAGGAGCCCTCGCCTAGGCACGTCAGGAGGCATCTATATGAACTGACGGACGAAGTCCAGAGGTTCATTATGCAACCTCTGGACCCTACAGCTTACAGACAGGCCCTGAACGGCATTCACAGGGACTCAGTCTCGAGTTATGTAGACTCTAGACCTGTGAATGCCGTTCTAGGCATACCACCTCCGGACATAGACGATACGGAGCTTCATCTGCCTCGGGAGACACGCACAACACTCGCACAACTTCGCTCCGGCTACTGCAGCTGGTTGAACTCCTACTTGAGTAGGTTGAATGAGGATGTGCCGAATGAGTGTCCGGCATGCGGAGAGACCCCACATGACTCGAAACATCTCTTCCCATGCCCGGAAAACCCGACAACCCTAACGGCCTTGTCCCTGTGGACAAACCCCACAGAAGCTGCACGCTTCCTAGGGTTGCCGTTAGTGGAACTTGACGACAACGACTGAGATACCAACCGATCTGGGCGGAGTTGTTGTAGCCGCTACAACAACAACAACAACCGGTAGGGCATTTTAAAAGGTGGCGTGTAACTCCTTTGTTTTTAGTACTAACTCTTAAAATTTTAATTGAAGGTGTGTTTTAATACATACTAGCATGCTTATCAAAATGGCTAGATTTCACAATTTCATTTAATATTTTTTAAATTTATTTATTTTTTAACATAGTATATTTTCTAACAAAAACCACATAAATCCAAGTTTCAACCTTTGTGCAAAATTAAAAAAGAAATTAACAGACTTTGCAAAAATTTCGAGCTTTTTAATTCGATTTTTTAGAAATATTTTGAGTATGCAGTTTTGTAACCCAATTCCAATTACCATTAATTTTTGGCAATTTTTCTCGTTGAAGATTTTGCTCATTTTCTCCATAAAAACAAAATCGTCGAAAATGCTTCATATGGAATAAAACGACTAACATCAATCAAACCGGTTCTAAATTATGCTGCGCCAGTTTGGTCGCCGGGGACTAGTTGGACGCAGTGGACGAAGCTACAGACTTGTCAGAACGCCGCACTCCGGACAGCGACTGGGTGCCTTCTGATGACGCCTGAGCATCACCTACACAGTGAGGCCCAAGTGCTCCCCGTAAGGGAACACAACAAGATGCTCTGTAAGCAGTTTCTTATGGGGTGTCACAGAAGTGAACACCCCAACAGACCACTGCTGGAGGAGGAGCCTCCGCCCAGGCACGTCAGGGGGAACCTATTCATGTACAAGGGCGCAGTCCAGACCTACACAGACCAACCACTGGACCCAATGACGTACAGACGAGCGATCAACGACATTCATAGGGAGTCTGTCTCCACCTACCTCGACGCCCGGCCTAGGAATGTCGTTATCGGAGCCCAATCACCACCTGTGGAAGAGACGGAGCTTCAGTTACCTAGAGAGACCCGCGTTACCCTGGCTCAGTTACGGTCTGGATATTGTAGCCGCCTAAACAGCTACCTGTCCAGACTCGACCCAAACATCCCAAATGAGTGCCCGGCATGTGGAGACTCCCCCCACGACACCAACCAACTCTTCACCCCTTTGGTCCGACCCCATCGAAACAGCTCGTTTCCTGGGCCTACCGTTAGTTGAGCTTGACGATAATGATTAAAAGTTGACCCGAAACAGGCGGGGCTTAGTAGTGCCGCTACAACAACAACAACAACTAACATCAAAAAAAAAAAATGCCAAAAGTCAGTTACTTTAAACTTGCAGTAAAATTGAATGGGAAATATTTCTTAAATATCGAACTAAAAAGTTCGAAATTTTTACGAAAGTTGGTTGATTTTTTTTTTCAAATGTTGCACAAAGAATCAAGCTTGGATTTATATGGTTTTTGTTAAAGATTATACTAATTTTTATAAACAAATAAGGAACATTAAAAATATTAAGACAAATGATCAACTCTCGTCAATTTGTAAATGCCGTAAAGTTAAGATAAGGACTATACATTCATAGTATCTACATACCCATTGTCTTGGCTTTTCACGTTGGCGAAGAGATCAACATGGTTGTATGGTCATGGTCATTGTATAAATAATCTTTATTTTACCGAAAATATTGGAAAAAATTATTTCACCAAAGATTGGAAAAATATACATAAAGAAATAACTAAAGTATTTTTTCACTACTATTGGAACGCTAAAAATCTGTAGGTCGTGAAAACTTCACTGCTAAAGTCAGAATTTTGTAATCCTTTTTTGACTTCGACAAATAAATCCGAAAGAGAATAAAAACTCTACAAAGCTCTCCAAACCAACAACAACCACCTCATGCAAAATTGCCTTCTTGCTGTGTTTCATGCCTGTATAAAAGAGAAATAAAGACTTAATTTTTTTGGAACTACTTCGGGTACATTTTGGTAGCAGCCAAGTCCGACTGGGTAGCTGCTCTAAGTTATACATAAAATCGACCATATATGTACAACAATTTAAATTAAATAACGCGCCATGTTACTTTACCTAATAATGTGTATGTACATATGTATCAATGACACAAAAAGGTTAATATAGTAATTTTTATTTAGGAGTGCTTAAAATTGTTTAATTGCTTTTTAAAGATATTCATGTATAATTTTTTCGAGATCTCATATACAAAATTAAACCAAGAAAATAGGTACATACTTACATATGTATGTATAAAGATGAACATAACCCTACTATGATATATGATATGCAATACATATTTTCTGCCAAGGTTGTGCAAATACCCCCAAAAGAAAAGTATAGCATTCAACAATGCAACGCACAAATTGCAATTTTATTACAATTCATAGTTCACTTTATCGTTTCTCAATTACTCAATTTCCATTTTCTTCAATTTTACATTCTTGTTCTGTTTACATTTAAGTTCATCACTACTGTTCTCATATATATCTTCGGCGCTCCGCAAATTTTTATGGTTTCCAACATTTGCATTTGAAATTGTTTGATAAACGCTTAAAGCTTGCGAGACCAATGATGTTACATCGCCAGGATTAGATGGCAGTATGAGAGTGTTATTGGTTTTCGCTAAATTTCCAAACGCATCGATGTATTGCTCAGCTAAGGTGAGCGAAGCTGCATTTTTGCCATCTAAATCCTGCAAAGCTTTTGCCACAGTTTGCAGTCCACGAGCACGTGCATCAGCTACGGCCAACATAGCAGCCGCTTCACCACTCGCTTTGTTGATTTGTTCCTGTCGTTCGGCTTCGGAAGCAAGTATACGTGATTTTCTTTTACCCTCAGCAATATTAATTTCAGCTTCGCGACTACCTTCAGACTCCAGTATAGCCGCACGCTTGCGTCGTTCTGCTTCTACTTGCATTTGCATAGCTTCATGCACACGTGTTGGCAAACGAATGTCACGGATTTCGTAACGTAAACACGCAATACCCCACGCTTCACTCGCTTTATTGATAGAGTCTACTATGCTGACATTGAGAGATTCACGCTCGCGGAAGATTTTATCTAACGACATCTTGCCCAACTCGGACCGCATGGTTGTCTGTGCAAGTTGCGTTATCGCAAATTCGGGATCTTCAACGCCATATGAAGCGCGATAAGGATCAATGATACGCAAGTACAAAACGCCATCTATGCTAAGGGTAACATTGTCCGAGGTAATTGCACTCTGTTTGGGCACATCAATAGCGATTTCCTTCAGACTTTGTACATATTTGATTTTATCAATGAAGGGCACCAATATGTTAAGACCAGGCTCCATAATCCTATGGAAACGGCCCATTCGCTCCACTATCCATGCCTCCTGTTGAGGCACAAACATAATGATTGTATTCATAGGTGTGGAGGACTTCGTGCGACTCTGTTGTATTAGCTGACGTCCATTCCTGAGTAATACGGATTGTTGGTGTTGCTGCGCTAATCGTCGTCCAGCGGTAGTAACAAAGGTACGCAACATTTTCTTCCAGAACACACTTTGATCTGATTACTGAAAATTGCAGTGCGGCGGAAGAAATCAACAGTCAAAAGTACAATACACTGAAAGGGAACACTTTATGTATTAAAAATATAACTGTTTTTAATTATTTATACCTCTTAAAAACGGACTACTTCTATTATTTAATTTTGAAGCCGCTTCGTCGGAATATTCCTCGTTAATACCATTTGACAGCTTTGTTTTCGTGCCGACTTTCGGAATGTCATGAAAAATGAAATTTACAAGTTGACAAAGAAAAGAATTGCACAAAACCGCGCTTTCCGGCAACACTATTTTTTGACAACCGCAGCGAATGCGTGTTTTTTTTCATTAAATTTCAAAAGATTGCGTTTTTAAGCCAATTTTCCAATATACGCGAATTGAACTGAAGACAAATGGTAGCAAACAAGTCACAAGTTAATTAACTGAATTCTCTTTAAATAGGCAAGTTTAACTGAGTGATAAACAGATTGTTGCAACTTTAAAGTTTACCGCCAATTTGCTGAAGTAAGAATCACGATATGTTTGGCCAGCCAACGCTGGGTGGAACTACCGCCACACCGTCTACAAACCGCATGAACGATTTTGAAGTAACAATGCCGCCGGATGACTCTGTATCCGCCTTAGAATTTAGTCCCAGCACCATACCGCAGAATTTTCTTATTGCCGGCAGCTGGGATAGCAGCGTTCGTTGTTGGGAAGTAGAACAAACGGGCAAAACAGTGCCAAAGTCGATGAAAACAATGGGAGGTCCGGTATTAGATGTGTGCTGGTCTGATGATGGCACTAAAGTGTATATGGCATCATGTGACAAGCAGGTAAAGATGTGGGATTTAGCCTCTGATCAGGTAGTTCAGGTAGCAGCACACGATGCGCCTGTAAAAACTTGCCACTGGATAAAGGGGTCAACTTATAGCTGTCTGATGACCGGTTCGTGGGATAAAACTCTAAGGGTATATTTATGATCTTATTACTTGAGTAGCAAATCTCTAATCATGTATCTTTTTACTTTTCAGTTTTGGGACACGCGTACGCCCAACCCACTTATGGCAATCAACTTACCAGAACGCTGCTATTGTGCTGATGTTGATTACCCTATGGCTGTGGTAGGTACGGCGAATCGTGGCCTCATTGTATACTCACTAGAAAACACGCCGACTGAATTTAAGCGGCAGGATAGTCCACTGAAATACCAACATAGAACCATATCAATATTTAAGGATAAGAAAAAAGCGCCAACGGGTATGTAATATTCTATTGATCATATATCATGCAGTTCTTGATTCGAATTTAATACAATTTAGGTTACGCGCTTGGTAGCATTGAGGGCCGCGTTGCGATACAATATGTAAACCCAGTGAATCCAAAGGATAACTTTACCTTCAAGTGCCATCGCACAACTGGTACAGCCGGCTATCAAGACATATATGCCGTAAACGATATAGCCTTCCACCCAGTACACGGCACTTTGGTGACCGTCGGTTCAGATGGTACTTTTAGCTTCTGGGACAAGGATGCACGCACAAAACTCAAATCATCGGAGACTATGGATCAATCGATTACCAAGTGCGCTTTCAACAACAATGGACAAATATTCGCTTATGCGGTGGGCTACGATTGGTCAAAGGTAATTAGTTCGTGTGAAAAATTTGAATTTTTATGTTATCGTTCGCCTTACAGGGTCATGAGTATTTTAATCCGAGCAAAAAGCCACAAATCTTTCTGCGTTCTTGCTATGATGAGCTAAAGCCACGTATTGCATAAATTCAACCTCAGGCAGGTAGTTATTTAACAATACAATATTGAATGATAAACAATTTTTTCGATAGAACTTAAATTTTGAAACCTGCATTTCAGTGAGTAGAGAACCAGACCCGTAATAAAACTCAAAATAATAATTTATGCTAAGCGCTTTATTTGGTACGATGCGTTTATCGCGTATCAGTGGAAACACACATGAAATTCAACCATTTTACTATGAGACATAGAAACAGCGACGAGGTGCTCAATGATGACCTTCAGCGTGCTCATCGTGGCCATGTCCATGACCGTGATCATCTTTTGAACTGAAAGCATATTCGCAACCAATGTGTACGCCAGCAGCTATTGCACCCCATAAGAGGCCGCGCAGGAAAAAGGCGCGTGCACGGCTTGCGTGTGTGCCCATAATGCTTGGTTCATAACGCCATACTTCGTTTCTAGTTGATGGCAAGACGAATTGGGGTTAATTTTAATGTTTTAATATTCGAGAGGGGCTCACCTTAACCATGGATCTTTCAATCCTTGACGTGCCAGCGCTTCTTGCACCTCACGTAGCTTCGGAATGGTTTCCACTTTGTAGATTGATGGATCTGGCACTTTGTAGGGTTCACCGTGTCCGTGTCCGCCCATGATTTATTGAAGCTGAAATAAAAAAAGGGATAGTGCGCTTAGTTCTGGCAATTTTCGATGGTTGCTGTATGCCCGCAGCTTAGGTTATATAATTTTATCATTTTAAATGCACTTGCGCTGTAAGTGGTAATACTGTGCATTTGAACATTTATTGGTTTCACGGTATCAAATTACCTTGCTGTTGTTTTGAAGGGCAAAAACTTTCAATACGCTTTCCAAAATTTCTGGTTAAAAACAAATTTACTTGTGCAATGGATTTGGAATAGGACAGCAAAACGGCACTAAAAAGTTGCTGTCAAACTTGACAGCTTGCGATCAGCTGTTACTTGGCGTTGCCATATTTTTGCAATATACGGATACGTTAACTACGAAGAAAGGCAAAGCGAGAGCGAAAAAGCTTGTCTGGCATCATCATGCGTTAACCACATTTTTGCAAACATCTGGCAGCACTGCGTGCGCAGCGAAGAGGCGCTTGCACGCCGCTTCTGTTCGCCTGGTGGAACTTGCAAATGTTGGCGACACTAGTTTGCCCAGCAGTTGCGCCAACATGGTTTGCACAAACTGTTTGCGCAAACTAGTTCTTACAACTGTCGCAAAGAGAAAAATATGCAAATATTAAAAAATGTGTTCATTACTACTTTTTGGTGTTATTAAATAATAAAAACATTCTTTTTGTAATATATATTCTTTTATTTATTCAAGTAGTTCTAAAATTATTTCTTTCAGTAATATATGTATATTTATTGCATTTTTTATTAGAATTATATAGTATGCATTAATATGAGTGTCGTTTAGATGCAGGTAAGAATTTTGAAAACATTTTAGAACTGAAACTTGAGTTGTAAATAAAGTTGAAATGAAATTAATAAAGACACCTTTTTTACGGTAATGGGATGTTTTTTTTTTTGATTTTTTAAATAGATGCGCTTTTCCAATATTATTATTTTAGGATTAATTAAACTCAGTTTTTCATATATATATTTACGCTGCCCTAAAAATAAATATATGTATGGGCTTAAAAATTTAATTTAGTATAAAATTAACAAATTCATATCTATACAATAGAAATTCAATATTGTTAACGGTGTATTTTAAGCAATATTTTTACATAGCTTTGTAGTTATAAAATTTTTATTTTTGAGGTTCCATAATTTGGTGAATTATTCAAAACTCTTGAAGAATCATAAAAAAACACAAAATATGTAAAATGTAATTTTGAATGGGCATGTTAAAACAAGAGTACAAGAACACAGTTTACGTTGCAAAATGCTAAACAGAAATTAGCATTTGTTTTGTTTTTTTGCACGTAATAGTCGAAGAATGTGCGACTTATGGCAAAGTGTTGAAAAAACCAAATTTTTAGTTGCTAGATAACTTTTTTTAATCGTTCAATGATTTCATAAAACTTTTAATAGACAACAGTAATTTTGCATTTTTTTCACACCCGCACAACATCGATACACCTCTAAAACTAACGGCTAAATATTATTGTAATTATTCTTAACTTAAATATTTTAATTAGTTCAACAACAGTAGTGGTTTGTGTGTTATTAAAAATCTAATTATTAAAAATCATTACATATTATAAGAGTGTGGCATACTTTTTGTTTTTTTTTGTCATAAAAAGTTTTGCAGATTTTTTTTAATTTTTTTCATATTTTTCATATTTTGTGATCGTGGTTTTGCTGAACTTACATGGCTACCATATCTGCTGAATGTAGTATACAAATTTTATATATAACTTTACAAATATCTATTTTATAAGGAAACTAAACTTATTTCTTGGTTTTTGTTTTAATGTTGTGTTTTGAGTTTATAACATTTTTTTTTGTTTTTGTTAAGTCGATGCTGTTGCACTAACAAATTTCCGTTGAAAATACTTACAGCCGATTTCACGGAATTTTAAATAGAAATTGACAGAAAATAAAAAAAAAACATTTTTCATTTAAATTGCTGGTGAAACCGGCTGTTAAAATTGTATTTTGTAAATTATAAACCGTATTTCTATGTATTATCTACTTTTATAAAATAAACTTTTTTATGTCACTCATTTTATAAATTGTATGCAACTATTTTACTATAAAAGAAACTTTCAAGTGCAACAGCAATGACTAATTTTTATTTTTTGCGCACACTTCCTTTTTTTTTTTAAAAAGTAAATCACCTAATTAATTGCTGTATTATTATAGAACTAGTTATTGAATCAAATTTTATAACCTTATTCAAAAAATAAAATATAAAATAAAATTGATTTGAAATTAAAACTTTATGTGACATTATTACACAATTCACATACACTACTATTTTGTTTATTATGAACTTGGGTATTACTTATGTTATTTAATTTTTTTTATAGTTTGAAGCAAAAAATACTGTTTTCGAGCGCCAATGCGTATGCAAAGCTGATCGGCGATTTAATAAAAAAAAAGGTTGCAAATTCTTCAATTAAACGAAAGTTGGTAAGAATTTTCTGTGCATGAAATGAATGATTTATGAAACTCAAACAAAAGCTATTGTTGGGGGCAAAATAATCCAGAATTTAGTTTTTTTTTTGTTGTACTGTCTAATACATTTTTGCTTTTAGTTTTATTTTTTAAATTGTTGTGTTTATATTTTTTTATATTCTTTTTTCATTTTGTCCTTTTAATTCATTTTATTTTCTCTCTCTTCTTCATTAGTCTTTGCAATTGGTCCTTCTGAACTTAGTCCTTCCATTGTGTTCTTGAACTTCCTTAATTTCACCCATTATCTGGGCGTGCGGAATCAATGGAGTGATATTGATTGCTTTAGTTTTTCTATTCTTGTCTTTATTATAACTTTTTGGGTCTGTTTATTTTTTTATTTGATTACTTTTTATTATTAATTAAATTTCATATTATTTATTTCGCTTGATTTAATTCAAGATTTTATTTTATGTTATTTATTTATATTTTTTATTTACTCATTTTATTATTTTTTTCTTTATTTTTCTTTTAATATCATTAAATTTATTTTTCTATTTTAATTTATTTTCATTATTTTAATTTTTATTCTTGGTATTTTACTTGTTATCGTAGTTTGCTCAATTCAAATGTATCATTGTAATTTTTTTTTATAATTTTATGGCCTTATTCATAAAAAACAAAGAAGTTTCAAAAAAGCTTTAAAAAGTGAAATTTTCATAAAAATTTTCGATTTACAAAGCAGTTAAAGTCTTCTTTATTTTTTATGAATTTGGGTGTTTATTTTTCTGTCTTTGTATATGTATATTGGTATTTCATGTCCGTAAATGCCATTAAAAAAAAATAAGCAAATATTATGATTAGTTCGCCAGCTTAGAGAAAAAATTTGTTAAGTCCAGTTTTTTCCCAAATTTTACTGGCGCACTTAAATAAAACTTCCCACATGAAAATTTTCTGTGCTTTCTTTGGACCAAGCGAAGTTTTGTTTCACTGCATTTCTGGGCAGAAATCAATTAGCTAAGTTGCTCTTTTTGGCAGTTTAAATTTTCCTTGCTTCCCGTATCCAAATGCAAGTTTTCATAAAAAAGTGGACTAGGCAACTTTTCACTCTAAGCTAGCGAGTTGCTTCTTATTCTTCGAGCTACATAGTAAGCTATTATTACTTTCATTTGTATTGTTGTTATTTTTTAAGTTTTTTACTTTAACTTTAAAAAATGTTTCCGATTTTCATTTTATTTAAGGAAACTTTCATTTTGTTGCTTCAGAATATTACGCTTTATCACATAATTTTCCTTTCCATAACGTTCCTTTTTTTACACAGCAAATGCGCTTTTAGCCTGCTCAATACTCTATTTCTATGCCAGCTGTTTTTTATGTTTTTTTCCATGAACGAAAAACACAAGATCACGTAAGAACAAGAGAGTGAAAAAAGTCGATTTTTTTAGCGGGTCCTACGCCATCTTGTTTCACTGGAAAACGAGCGAAAAGTAAACAAAGCAAAGAAAACAACGAAAACCAAAATTAGCCAAAATTATTGTCAGCCACTTTAAACGCACAATTTAGGTAAAATGATGCAACAAAATGCTTAAAAATGTGTTGTCATGTTGAATTAACTCTTCTTACTTGAACAAAAGTGTAAAATAGTGGTGCTTGTGATGTAAACAAACGCTCAGCTGATGAACCCGCTTTCGCAAACTTTTTTCTAAAAACCAGTTACAAATACAACGTCGCGTTCTTACGTGATCTTGTATTTTTGGTTCATGGTTTTTTCTTTTGTTATTGTTGTTGTTGTTGGTGATGATGTAGTAACCATTAACCGGTTTTGGCTAATGCTATTGAAGTCATCGTACTTGCCCGGGAAAAAATCTAGGCGTCAGTCGTGGTTGGTGTTGTTGTTGCTACAATATCATAGATTTGCGGAATGCTACTGGAGTGATGCTCTCTTGGCCACTTCCAAGCTCGTTCCAGTTAATTCGTAGACCCGCCTGCCGTGATTGTTTTATTTTGCTTACTGTATACATTCACAAACGCAGCTAAAACTCGAACGTATCAGTTTTCGTATTTTTTGAATGAAATTTTTAAGTTGTTGTTCTTGAAGCAAAAGTGCCCAACGTAATCAAACAAAAGGTGAAAAAGTTTAGTAGGCTTTCATATCCTTATTAAGTTGCTGTTGGTTGTATTTTTTTAGCCAACTTTTTGAGTCATTTTCCCCTTTCAGAAGGAAGACATTGGTTGTATGCAAGTTTTTAGATGAGTAGCTTTAAATAAAATTTAGCAATTGCTGTTGTTTTTGCTAACTTACTATTAGGCCAAGCATGTTTTGTATAGCAAAAAATAGTACATTTAAGCTGGCGTGGCACTCGAGTTTTTGTCTAGCGAAATTATCGCTAAGTAAATACATATTTTATTTTGATGTACCTTTGCTGTTTTGCGCAACGAAACGTTTAGTTAGCTTTTTCTGACTCACATTTGCATGCGACATGTCCATTGCGGTTTGCTTTACGCCTGCAATTTAGCAACAAACGTAATAGGGGAATGTTTGTTAATTTTTGTATTTTTTTAATTATTTGCACTCAGCATTATTCTTAAACGCACGAGCTGTATTCAATGTTGTTGTGAATGTATATTAGTTTGTTGTTAATTTAAAGAATATTATTATTTTTTTGCTTATGAAATGCTCTAGTTATAATTTTTTTTTTTAACATTCGTTATACATTTTTATGTTTTTTACAAATTGTATCATAGTACTCATATTATTATATAGCATGTTATTTTGTGCATATGGTAAAAAGTTTGTTGTTAATGTTTCGCATTTGCTTTTATCATATTCTATATATAATTGTGTTTGAAAATTTTGTTTAAAACAGTTGTAGAATTTTTTTTTTCTTTTTA